TTCGAGACCAGCCTGAGCAAGAGCGAGACCCTGTCTGTACTGAAAAAACAAACAACTAGCTACGCATTCTGGAGAGTGCTGTCTCAGCTACTCAGGATGCTGAGGCAAGAGGATCCACTTGAGTCCAAGAGTTTGAGATTGCTGTGAGATATAATGCCATGGCACTCTACCCACAGTGACAGAGTGAGTCTCTGTCTCAAAAAAAAAAAATTCTATTCTAAGTCAAGTCTGCCTCACTGCAGGGAGGCTGCCAGCCAGCCCCATTCCATGGGGGTTCCTGGCCCCTCCTGGGTCCTCTAATGTGTGCTGTCTCTGCTCCTGTTTGGCACTCAGTATTGCCTTCTTACAGTGCCACTTAGATGTCTGGGAGGTAGCTAGGGCCTGGAGAGGGGCTTCTTGGTACTGGGAAGTTCCTTGTATATATGATAAAAGCCATGAGACCCCTACCTTAGGAACTTATAAGATTGAATATTAATTTCAAATTTGCTTTAAAAATTATACATGTCCAGGCAGTGCCTGTGGCTCAGTGGGTAAGGCGCTGGCCCCATATACCGAGGGTGGTGGGTTCGAACCCGGTCCCAGCCAAACTGCAACAAAAAAATAGCCAAGCATTCTGGCGGGTGCCTGTAGTCCCAGCTACTTAGGATACTGAGGCAAGAGAATCACCTAAGCCCAGGAATTGGAGGTTGCTGTGAGCTGTGATGCCACAGCACTCTACTGAGGGAGATAAAGTGAGACTCTGTCTCTAAAAAAAAAAAAAAAATTATATATGTCCTTTCCTTGAAAATGCTAGTCTGCCTCAGAGCGAGGGATTTGAAGATAGGGAAGGAAAGCAAGGAAGAAGGAAACGCTCCTTTATTTGTCCTCAGATTCTCTGATGTACACAAAAGATAATTGGATTTGGGGATTTGAGTCCTGAATTTGAGTTCTAGTTCTGCCATTTAGTAACTGTGGGGTGCTGGGCAGATCAGCTTATCTTTTGGGGCCTTTATTGATTAAAGGGGGAGGAGGCCACCCCATTGAGGAGTGTAGGGAATACACAAAACCTAGTCAGGTTGAAAGTCAGTGGTAAACTGCACAGTGAGAACTCGTCTGTGGATTGTAAGCCCCTTACAACACTGACTTGGTAAAGAACTCTGAGAAAGAGCAGAAGAGATAAGCTCCTAAGAATTCACAAAAGCAGGAAGATTCAGAGCCACCAGTAGTGTCACTAACTCTTTCTCCCTTATAGGTCTCCCTCCCTTTCTCCTCCTGGAAGGTCTCCTGCTGAAATTGTTGCTGTCCTCACCACACTAGATCTCTTTAGTTAAGGGACTTAACTATGAAGCCCAGGGAAGGCAAAAGAAAAAAAGAAAGGGCCCTCAAAAACAGAGAAGGGGCATTTGTGGAGAGGAACAACTGCTCACCCTCTGAGGACCAAGGTCAGTTCCAGCAGTGTGGGTGGGGGCCTGGGCTAAGTAGAAGGGGCTGTGGCAGGGAAACTCCAAGTCTCAGAGGGCTTGATGGAGGCCCAGCCCCTGGGTTCAGTCCTGGGCACTTCTGAGGGAGTGGAATTGCAGAGACTCCCGACTGGGATGTCTACCCCAGAGAATAGTGACGTGTTTGCTCCGCAGCATCCCCTCATTTGGAACACCGTTGGGCTGGAGAGCCAGTTCCCCATGGGTCACCTCTGCT